TGAACCAAACAGCAAGGCAGCAGTATTTATCCCTTCTTTCAACAACTCACTTATCAGTGCACGTTTGCTATGGCAAGTTTTGCTAACATACAGTAGTGGCCAAAATTGCGGAAACCTTCTGGGAAAAGTGTATTTTCTAAAACTAGCTAATAACATCACTTTTTTGGGAGTAGTACTATAAAATTATATATCAATAGAAAGATAATGTAATCAGGAATGTAATGCAATAACTTTTATGAAGGATTTGCTATTAGAATAGGAGTTACAGTATAAAGAAAAAAGTGAAACACAGAAAAAACGAGGTGTACAAAAATTATCATGTCAGTTAATACTTAGTTGGATAACCTTTAGCATGAATTACAGTCTTACAGCATCTTCCCATGGAGTGAACCAAGTCTTTTAGTTCTGCAGCTGTTATAATGTGAAACCAAGATTGAATGATTGCTTCTATTAACTGGGTTTTATTGCTGGGTCACTTCTGACTAACAAGTTTCTTTAGTTGGCTCCATAGATTTTCAATGGGTTAAGGTCTGGGCTATTTCCAGGCCATTCCAGCAGTGGAATATGACTATCTTGAAACTCAACAACAACAACAAAAAAGTGGTGTTATTAGCCATCAAACCTCAAAAATACACTTTTCCCAAAAGGTTTTCACAATTTTGGCCACTACTGTAGTTCTGAATCTCATTCAATTGCTGTCTTTAATGGACAGCCAGAAGCATTAACTTTGCTCTCTCTTGTGCTAATGCCCAAGACCTTCTGTTCTGGTTCCACCAACACTAACAGCTGTTCAACCCATCTCTTAGGCTGACCAGTCTGGTATGGGCTTTAATCAAAACATTCCGCACTCTTGGAAAGTTAGTTTTGTATTTTACACAACTGCCAATTCTCCACAATACCATTTTAAATTCTACAGAAATCTTAAAAAGCCAGTTTAAATCTATGAAATAATTAATAAACATGTACCAGGATAATATTTATACTAACATACTAGTATGAGTGTTCATTGTGATCGGTATAATGCTATAAAATGTTACTTTTTCCCATGTCTGTCACTTTTGCTGACCTGACTGGCCTTTCTCTGTGTCTGTGTATTTTGCTGCTTTTTTATTTTTTGCCTGATTAATGACAATAAAACACAATACAATTGAAATCTGCCAGCTCCCTTGATTTCATTGCTAAAAGAGGCCAGGTAATCAGTGATGCTAACTGTTCTGGTATCCAAAACATACAATGATCAGAAACAGCAAAATACACCTTCCCATTGGGGCAAATCACTCTTCAGCCTTTTGACACTTGCATAGAAGAGATCAGATTTTGTGGCTGTGCCTTGCCCAGATTCAGACTCCATTGAAGCCAATAGTTAGACACCGCTACCCAGAATAGAGAACCTGCTAATCAGTATGTCAATCTTTACCTCACAACACTTGGCAATCTGAAGCCGCAAAATATACTATCTCCAAAAGACAATGGGCATTATTTCACAAGGAAAACTTACACTCCTTTTCAAAAAAGGAAAGGGAAAGCATATTTTTTAAACTGTTCTTGCATGTTTTTAATGTTTACATTGATAAATATTTTTTCTGCTTTCTTTCAGCACAACTTAAGACTTTTTGCTGAAGAGCAGAGTCTGCTGAAGGACAGTCTGTGCTGTTCTTTTTCCAGCCTTGCTATTTCTCTTTAAAATACAGGAGACATAATTTTAAAAATGCATTGCAGTGAAACTGTTGATGACAGCAGATATTTGGTAGGGCTAACATCCTCACATTTATCATCCCATTCTCTCTCAAAATGAGATAACTGCAGGCATTTTAATGCTTTAATGCTTCTCTATTATAGTCTATGGAAGAATCTTTTGGGGAGATCAAATTTTAAATTTTCAACTCATTTTCAATTGAACTGATTTGCCTTCAGATCACAGACTCAAATCAAACCATGTCCTGTCTTAAATCTCAAATCTTGAATACAAGGACTTATTCAGATCTAACAAAAGTTAGATTTGGATCTAGTAAACCATTTCTTGGGATTTCTATACTTTCATACATGCCACTTTATGAATCTGCATCTTATTTCTGTGACCTTTTAATTATAATTTAAGTCCTCATTGGCAATATGAAGTATGAAAATTATGAAATACAACTTTCATTTAATCTGTAGTTGGCAGGTAGAATAATAGGCAATATTGTCTAAGTCAGAGTATGTCACAAAGACATGTAATGATGCAATGGGATAATGTGAATACATTTTTTAAAAAGAGAGTACAAAGCAAACATGTCACACGTCATCAAAAAGGCAAGGAAAGAGTAGCTGGGATCACTGAGCAGACTAACCTGAAGAGAGGCAATTCCCACTAGGAAACACATGTTTTTAATCAAACCACAAGCGTGATAATTTCCATGGACAGTTCTTAGGAAAATCTTTTGCCAAGCAAAAAGGTTAGATTCACCCACAATACACCTTAAAATGGAAATTATTTGAAGGACAATGTATGATAGCTATTGCACTCAGTAAACACTCCTGTAATATATTCTTAATGTTTGGATTGCTTCCATATGCTTTGATGGCGATGATTGGACCTCATAGACAAAGAACAGAAGAGAAAGCAAATGGTCACCAGGAAGGAAAACACTAGAGTCAATGGATAGATAGTTGTAGAGAGTCTACTTTAATGAGTGGAGCATGAATTCTCAAGTCAGATCTTCTCTAAGACAGGAAAAAAATCCTATTCTGGTATATTAGTATTCATATATCAATGCCAACTTGAGTTGAGATCCAGATTATTGGGAACAATATGCTGATACTATAAACTGCTTAGAGAGGGCTGTATATAATGGCAGGGGGCAAAGGTCGACCTCGAGGCCTCTTATATGTGGAGTGCCTCAGGGGTCGGTCCTCTCGCCCCTTCTGTTCAACATTTATGTGAAGCCGCTGGGCGAGTTCATCCGTGGCTTTGGGGTGAAGTACCATCAGTATGCTGATGACACCCAGCTGTATATCTCCACCCCAGGCCACCCCAACGATGCCCTTGAAGTGATGTCCCGGTGCCTGGAGGCTGTGCGGATCTGGATGGGGAGACACAGGCTCAAGCTCAACCCTTCCAAGACTGAGTGGCTGTGGTTCCCAGCATCCCGATATAGTCAGTTGACTCCATCACTGACTATTGGGGCGAGTCTTTGGCCCCCTCGGAGAGGGCTCGCAATCTGGGAGTTGTCCTGGATATGCAGCTGTCCTTGGAGGAACATCTGACGGCTGTTGCCAGGAGGACTTTTGGTCAGGTTCGCCAGTTGCGGCCCTTTCTTGATCGGGATTCCCTGTGCACAGTCACTCATGCCCTCGTCACCTCTCGCCTGGACTACTGCAACGCTCTCTACATGGGGCTCCCCTTGCAGAGCACCTGGAGGCTCCAACTGGTCCAGAATGCGGCCGCGCGGGTAGTCACGGGAGCCGCATGATGCTCCCATACAACACCTCTCCTGCGTGAGCTGCACTGGCTCCCAGTGGTCTTCCGAGTGCGCTTCAAGGTGTTGGTTATCACCTTTAAAGCACTCCATGGCATAGGACCTAGTTATCTTCAAGACCGCCTGCTGCTACCGATGGCCTCCCATTGAACTGTGCGCTCCCACCCAAACAATGTAGGCTGGTGACCACCAGGGGGAGGGCCTTCTCTGTGGGGGCACCTACCCTCTGGAATCAGCTGCCCCCAGAGATAAGGAGAATCCAAGACCTCGGTGCCTTCCGCCGTGCCCTTTTTAAAATGTTTTTAATTGTTTGTTATTGTTTTTAATCATGGGGCCAAATTTATATATATCTTTTTAATTGCATTTTAATGTATGTAGTTTATGCTTTTACTTGGCTGTTCACCACCTGAGTCCTCAGGGAGAAGGGCGGTATACAAATTTAAAAATAAAAAAATAAAAAAATAAATAATTCTAAGTGCTATTGCTATTTCCAATGGAATAGTCTTTACCAAGAGATGAGGCAGCAGAACTTGTAGGTGGGAAATACAATAATTTTTGGTACCAGAGAAAATAAGGCAAAATATTTGACACTTTTTTCATACAAGTATTTATTCCTATTTTTATATAATTGTATACATAAGGACTGACATTATAGCAGTATCCCTTTATATACATATACATATATTTGTACATACATATACAATTGTATACATACACATAAGGGCCGACCTGATAGCAGTGTTCCAATATTTGAGGGGCTGCCACAAAGAAGACGGAGTCAACCTATTTTTGAAAGCACTAGAAGACAAGACAAGAAGCGATGGATGGAAACTAATCAAGGAGAGAAGCAACCTAGAACTAAGGAGAAATTTCCTCACATTGAGAACAGTAAACCAATGCAATGGTTTGACTTCAGAAGTTGTGGGTGCCCCATCACTGGAGGCTTTTTAAAAAAGACTAGACAGTCATTTGTCTGAAATGGTACAGGGTCCACTGCCTGAGCAGGGGCTTGGACTAGAAGACCCCCAAGATCCCTTTCAACTCTTGTTATTCTGTATACATAATCAAATATTAGAATGAAGCTCTATATAAATGCTACCATCATAAAAGTTCCTTAGAACTTAATTCTCACTTTTTAGGCCTGAGTTGTTTTCTGAAATGATATGCAAATTAACACTGTTAAGATTGATTGCTTTTCTTTCTACTGGAGTCATTATATAACTCTGTTTTTCTTACATTATATTGGCATCATAAATTATTATATCTTTATAGAATAATGTAAATTCATATTAAATAAAACTTTTCAAAAATTGGAATGAATATTTGTTAAACTTGTATGCACCCATCACTAGATATCTGTGTAGGTGTGAATAGATATATAATGTTTTATAAAGAATATAAAATGGAATCAACCCTTTGTAGCACTGAATTTGATACATTAATCTTTAAACAGTTCTGAAAAAACAAAGTGATTGGGTTGAATGCTTAGTATTAAACATTTTAATTTATTGCATACATTATTAATAATACTCTCAAAACAGGTGTAGAAGTCTCCTTCAGAAGAATATGGCAAAGAAAAGGAAGTGAGGAAGAACTGTTAAGTTCCTAAAAATTGAACATGTAGGTATAAAGCATGGAGTAAGTGGAAGATAGAGGAAAGGGAGGTCATTTGATCATGCTGTTAATTACAACAGTATCTCTTGCCCCTCAAAAACTCTACTTATACCTATGTTTCCCTGAAAATAAGAGCCAGTCTTATTTTCTTTTCAGCCCCAAAATAAGCACCAGGTCTTATTTTGGGGGGGATGCCTTATCAACTTAACGTAGGACCACTGCATCCACATCTCCCATGTCCTGACACCTGTCATGCCACTGCCTGACTTCTTCTGCATTTGTGACTGCTCGTGATCAGATGCCACATGACTCATCCCGCTGGTGCCACCGCTTGCGGCAGGAGACTGCATGTTGTGTTGTGCTGTTGCATATGAGAGTGGCGACACCAGCACTATCAGCCACACAGTATCCTGCCACTTAAAGCTTCTTTCATTAATGATTGAAGGAAATTCATCCAATGAATGCTACATCATTTGCCATTCCAAAGGCTCTTAATATTTGAAAAGCAAGAAATAAGTAATCCCAAAAGTGATTAAGAAATAGGGATTGACCAAACTTTATATATAATTATATAATTGTCAGTTTAACTGGAATGCCTCGACTCTCAAATGCTTGGCTCACCAACCATGGAAACTTGGGTTCCTGCAACTATTTGAAAGGAACAATTGTCCAGAGCAGTAGTCACCAACTGGTGGTCCATGGACCACTGGTGGTCCATGAGAAAATTTTGGTGGTACGCAGAAAAATTATTTGCATTTTTTATATTGCATTAAATCAGGGGTCCTCAAACTATGGCCACTGGGCCGGATATGTGCAATGAATGTTTGTGTTGCTGCAGAGAGTCTCCCCCTTCAGGGTCTTTTTGTGTGGGTCGGAGGGGGGCAGAAATTCCAACTCGGGGTCTACTTCAGCCTCCTGGTACGGGGCTTTAGACGAAGGCTGGAGGGAAGCGCCACTGGTGGTGAAGAGCCAGAGGGCCTCGTTCCAGTGGGACTGCATCATGACCTGGAACTGGTTGACCATCTCAGGCCGCTGAGCCTGCTGGTGCCAGTATCTGGCCTTGCACTCCTGCAGGCCTTCCCTCTACTTGGAAAGCCTATGCTTGTAGTCCTTAGTGAGATGCTTCTGCTGAGCCTCCTTCTCAGTCAGATCCAATTTGAACTGAGCCAGCTGTTTTGCCAACTCTTTCTTTTGGTGACTGCTTAGCTCCAACAACTGCTTCCTGTTGGGCCTAAGGAGCCCAGGTGGGGAGGCGAGGAGTGGCTGGGAGGGGAGGGCTGACTAGAGGCTGGCGAGGTGCCTCTTGACACGAGTGACATTGAGTTGGCCATGCCCACCCAGTCACATGCCCACCTAGCCATACCCACCCAGCCGGTAATTAGGCAGATCATATTAGTGGGCCGTGAGATTTAAAATTATGAATTTAGTGGTTCCTGAGGTCCGAAAGGTTGGTGACCCCTGGTCCAGAGTACTTTTGGGTGATCAGACAATCTATCCTTTCTCCAGAGATATTTCACTATCCAGGATCCATCCTTTGGCTGCCAATTTATGTCCTGATCCTTCAGGGATGTCTAGTTTGCCATGATGTCCTTATCAGAAATTTCCGCATTGTCTCTTGATATTTAGCATAATGAAAGGCTACAATAGTTTTGCATTAACACTCCACAACAAGTTTTTTTCATTCCCACAAATGCCAAAATGAATAAGTTTATGAGTTATCAAACATGATTTGTTTTCTCAATAAGACTCTGGCAACAGCCACTAAGGTTCAAAAAGAATCTTATACATCTTCATTACTTTAGATTTCTAATATTTAAATAGAGTATCAAAAGGGTAACTCAAATTTTGTGACTAAAAATAATAATAAATGTACTGTATGTTACTCCTTTGACAATGTGATTGACATGTTTTGAACATGTTTAATTGTGCATGATTTTAAAAATGTAAACAGTAGATACCAGAAAGTTAAATATAAAATAATTGTGACTAGTTTCGAGGATCAGACTCAATAAGAAACGTAGACTCGTTGTTTGAATCAAAGCAAAAGTCTTTATTTACTGATATGATCTTTTCTATCTACAGGTTACTTCAGGAAGAGCAGCTGGAACAATGTGGGATGTCCTTTTTATACTGAAGGGGCGGAACCAAATGTAAGGAGTGGTTTAAGGGGAAGATGGGTGGAGGGAGTGTGTATGTTGATCCTTGTCGTTCTATTTTATGAGGAATCTATATATATGACAAATCCCCCTCTGGATGCCGAATATGTAGGAGTTGAATTTATCTTTTGTTCAAAAAGTTCACATACGAATGCATAACTTAGACACCAAATAAGCATATTGTTTACCTGATAATGGTTTCGTTAAAATGTCTGCTATTTGTTCTTTTGTATCACAATGTTCTATTTTGATGAATCCTGTTTTTGATAACTGTCTTACGTGTTTATGTTTTATGTCTATGTGTCTAGATCTTTGTCCTATAGCTTCTGCCTTTGATATTTCAATTGCGGCTTTATTGTCTTCATGTATGATTATAGGTTGTGACGGTCTTGTCCAAATACTAGTGAGCAGATCTTCAAACCAGATGAGATTATTGGCAGCCTTTGAAAGACATATATATTCTGCTTCTGTAGTTGAGGTTGTGACTAAGTTCTGTTTTCCTGTGTACCAATGTACAGGACTTTCATTAATAAAAAACATGTATCCTGACGTACTCTTCCTGCTCTTTACATCTCCAGCCCAATCGGCATCTGCGTAACATGTGAGCGCGTTTTCATTAAGTTTGTTTGGTTCTAAATATAAACAAGTATCAGAGCTGTATTTTAGATATCTGAGTACTTTTTTTACTGCTTCCCAGTGATATGCTGTTGGTTTACTCACATGTCTTGACAATAAATTCAGTGGCAAAGCTATGTCAGGTCTGGTCCAATTTGCTATGTATAGGAGAGATCCAATAGTAGATCTGTAGAATGTGTTATCTTTGAATTCAGGTGATATGTTATGCATATTTTTCAAAAAGTCCGGTTGCATGGGAATGTCACATTGTTTGGTAACAATGGTAATTCTGGTAAATCTCCTTCTCTTTTGATAAATAAACAGTTATCTGCTGGAGTTGCTGTAAACCCTATTGATTCGAGTACTTTAACTAGGCACTCATACCAGAGTTTCCCTGACTGTTTTAAACCATATAAGCTTTTATTGAGCAGCTATGTGTCACCCTTGTTCGTGTCTTTACTATGTGGTGCTCTTATGTAAATTTCTTTGTCTAATTTTGCGTGTAAATATGCTGTTTGGATGTCATATTGGTATACTTCTAGGTCTAGTACTGAAGCCATTACTAAAGCAGTTTTAACGCTTTCTGCTCTCACTGTTGGTGAATATGTATCAGTATAATCTTCTGGATACTTTTGAGCGAATCCTTGCGCTACTAATCGTGCTTTGTACAATGTTTTGCCTTCCTCTAGATTTTTGATTTTAAAAATCCATCTAGTTCCTATTGTGGTTTTATCCTTTGGTACTTTGGCGGGGGTGAATACATTTAATTCTTTAAGGCTTTCCATTTCCTTTGACATAGCCAATTCCCATTTTAACCTTTCTTCAGGAGGAAGTCTCATTACTTCTTTGTATGAATTTGGTGTGATTGGATTAGAATTTCCATGCATTATATAATTTTCAAATCTTTTGGGCATTTGATTTCTATTGACTCTGACTGGCCTATTTGATGTGAAATTATTATCATGTAAATATTTGGCTTCCTTTTGAGTAAGTGAATCTACTCTGATTTTTGGATGTTCACCCTTCCATTCTTTGGTAGTGTTTCTTTGCTGTGTATTTTTAAGTTCCTTTTCTTTTGTGATGTTCTGTGTGTCCTGTCTATTATGATCTTGTGTATTGTATCTTATTATTTGCTTAGGGTGTATCTGATTGAGGTGTATTTTAGACCAGTTTGCTTGTTCATGGAACACAGCTGTTCTAGATACCACAAATCTGTTATTACTATCTATGAATCTGTACCCTTTGGTACCTGGTTCATAGCCCATGAACCTTAATCTTCTAGATATTTTATCCCCTTTGTGTCATAATTGTTTCGGAATGTGGACATCCGCAGTGACTCCGAAGACATGTAGGTGTGCTATTTTTGGTTTCTTGTTATACATCAATTCATAGGGTGTTTTATCTATGACACTGGACCAGGTTCTGTTGAGTGTGTAATTAGAATATATTAAAGCCTCAGACCAGAAGTGTTTACCTATCCCTGCATCCTCCAGTGCACATCTTATCATGGTCTGTAAGGTGGAATTTCGTTGTTCTACGACGCCATTTTGGAAGGCTGAGAATGGAGATGAAGTAAAGTGTAGCACGCCCTTAGACCGGAGCCAGTGAGTGAACTCCCTTGACAAAAATTCTGATCCCCTATCAGTCATTATTTGTTTCAATTGTATGTTATGTTGGGTTTCTACTCGCTTATAGAATTCCTTGAATTTTTGAAAAGCTTCGTTTTTGTGTCTTAGAGTATACACGAAGCCGTAGCGACTATAATCATCTACGATGGTGAGAAAAAATCTTTTTTTATACTTTATAGATGGTTTTAGGGGTCCCACCAAATCCATGTGCACTAGGTTGAATATGTGAGTGGTGGTTCGGGATGCTTTCTTTGGTCTAGGTTTAGTTTTTAATTTTGAACATTTGCATACTGAGCATTCAAGATAGTTTTCACAATCTTTTATTTTGACACCTTCAGCAAAGTTACTCATTTTCTGAATTACAGGGAAGCTGGCATGTCCTAGTTTTCGATGAAGCATGTGTGCACAATTATCGTGTAGGGGTTTGCCTATTAGTAGTTTTCCGTTGTTAATTATGTCTTCCTTTGATGCATCCCTATCATCATCTCTTGTCTCTGTCTCATCTGATTTGATAGCTTCATTTATCTTACTTTTAATGATGGTGTCTGTCTCCATGTTTGCATTTATACTAATTGGATAGTGTTTACTTGTGCATAAGTAGGGTAATCCTCCTTTGGTTATGATCCTATTTATATTTTCTTTGCCTTTACTCAAGAACACCTTCCCTCTTGTGAATGTTATCTTTATGTTTGCTAAGTTTAAGAGAATATTGTGTGGTATTTCTGGGACTAACAGTACCCCCTCTATTTTTCCTATTCCTGGCAATATTATGTCTCCTTTCCCTGTTACTTGTACTTCGTTTTGATTCGCTACTTTTATTAGAAATTGCTCTTCTGTGAATGATGACAGAAGTTGCCTGTTATAAGTAGTGTGGTTGTTGGCTCCAGAGTCTATGAGCCATAGATTGTCTTCTCTGTCCTGATTGGTTATTTTTGTGAGTTCCTCTACCCCATATAGTGATCCAGACCTACTGTCCCTGGAGTTGTCCCTGCTTCCTCTTGTATGTCTGGGATTGGGGGAATCCCTACGTTTATACCTGTCTCTTGATGAATGTCTGTATTTTTCTCTAGAGTTTCTGTGGCAATCTCTCTTATAATGTCCCCTAGATCCACAAATATAACATTCAGTTGTGTCATGGTGCCTATCTTGGAAAAATACTTTTTTGGTTGGCTTGTGTTCCCTAAATGTGTTATTGCGACTCTTTCTTAGATTGTCCTCAGTTATAAGTTTGTTTGAAAGGCTTTCTATGGACAGGTGACCTAAGCTGAGAGTATCTAAGTGTGTGATGAAATTGTCCCAAGAGGGATCTAGGGAGTTGATTATTACACTCTTCATGGTTTGATCGGTTATGACTTCTCCCCTTAGGTGTAATTCAGTTCTTTTGGCATTTAACATTAAAAGATGTTCACTTATGGAGGTTCCTGGTCTAATTCTGGCAGAAAAGAAATCTTTTGAAATTCTGGTCGTGGTTGCCACGCTTTCACTATAGAAAAGCCTAAACATATATTGTATAATTTCTGACACAGTTAAATGGTGTTTGATGCTATGATAGATAGTGGGTGAGATGCTTGAAATTAACAAGTAAAAGGCCCTATGATGTAAACAGTCTATTTCTAATGTCCATGGCTTCTTTGGGGGATTGTTAATAAAGAATAATAAATTTTCTTTTAAGAAAATAACTTGGAGCTGTTGGCTCCACTCCAATAAGTTAGCACCATCCATTCTTAATTTAGGAAAATCATTTGGTAAATTTCCTGCATTGTTATGTGAATTACTTACAGCAGGTGGCTGTCCATGGTGCTGGATGTTCTGATATTCACAGAATGGCATAGGGATACTCGCAAATAGTTTAAAAGGTTCTCTCTGCATTCTGCTGTCTCTATTTTCTCCTAGGTAAGATTGCCCGTGCGCAATGCTCATTTCTGTTTTGAAGTTGCCGGAGAAGGATCCTGTAGCCGCAGCTTCCTCATAGTGGTCTCTCTCAGGCATGCAGGCCTCTGGCTCAATCCTGGGGGTCCAGCGGTGAGTCGAAGGCTGTCCTCTCACCACGCTGCTATCCGGATGAAGATCCCGGGCCCTTGGATACGTCTGTGGTGTTGGTGAGTATTTGCACCAGCCTCTGGGTTCCGGTGTTTGCGATCTCGGCATTCGGGATGGTGTCGTCCTTGTGGTGTGCTGCATTTTTGATGTGTCAGCGGTAGTGTTTGTATCTCCTGGGTGATCGGTTTGTCTTTGTTTTTCCTTTTGATTATTCTCTTTTAATGCATTTTGGGATCCCGCAGATATTCTTAGGTTAGGGCCGAAGGCGGCGATGAAGGTTTTCATGGCTCCCTCAATTTGCTGGTCGTCTGGGGATATTTCAGCGTCTGAATCAAGTCCCTTGTCCCAATAGTTATCGTTTCTCTTATTTTTGTTGGAGAAATGAATTTCCCGCGCTGGCCATTTTGAATCACGGCCGCTGATTGGTCGTTGTTTGGGCATTTTGGTGGGTTGGCTGACTAAAGATGGCCGCCATTCAAAGTTTTGTGTGGGATCGTTAGTTTCTGTATCTGTTAGCATGTTGGCTTGGGGTAGATCACTTACTGATTCGTGGTCCGTAGTCTCTAGGGTGGGATCGTGGCCTCCTCTCGCTGCTTCTCGGTCTTGTATGAGGTTTTGGAGGTTCGCGACGAGGCTTTCATCATCTCCTTGTATTCTTAGTAGTTTCAGAATGTCCAGTCTCAGGCTGTTATTTCTTAGTGTATCCATCTCTTGGTCACTTTGATCACCGATCACTCTCTCTTCATCCGTCATGGGGTTTTCAAATTCCTCTGCCGTTTCCATCGAGAATTTATTAATTAGGGATTGGTGTGCCTTCATCCCTTTGATGTGTGCTCTGGTATTTGGTCTCTTCTTTGACATGTTTATTCCGTTATTGAGTCATCCAACCATCCTCTGCTACCATATTGTGACTAGTTTTGAGGATCAGACTCAATAAGAAACGTAGACTCGTTGTTTGAATCAAAGCAAGAGTCTTTATTTACTAATATGATCTTTTCTATCTACAGGTTACTTCAGGAAGAGCAGCTGGAACAATGTGGGATGTTCTTTTTATACTGAAGGGGCGGAACTAAAGGTAAGGAGTGGTTTAAGGGGAAGATGGGTGGAGGGAGTGTGTATGTTGATCCTTGTCGTTCTATTTTATGAGGCATCTATATATATGACAATAATGTAGAATCCATTTTTGTATGAAGTCAGGAAGTTCCCAAGTATATTAAATCCTCTGTTTAAAAAAATAGGGAGATATATTTCATATTGTTATTATAGCTAATAGATATGATCTTATTGAATATGATTATTTTGTCATTTAATTTCTCTATAAATTCTTCTGTGATAGCAAATCTCATGGATTACTAGGAAATGCATTAAATTATTTTTCCTTTAACCCTGAATATATTACAAATGTCCTATATAGAAATTCTCAGAACATGGATGAAGCATACCATGGAAACACTAGACTTATCACCCGTATCTGCATTCCATTCAAGCCCCAATCTCCCCATACTGAGAGGCCTATTTACATTATTAGGAACCCTGTTTTGGATTACACAGAGGAAATGTTCTAGCTAACTTGTTGAAATCAGCTATTATCATCATTATCATTGATAGAAGATTTTTATTATTGTGCATAAAAATGAAAATAGATCCACCCACTTTAAAAACATTTACTTCATTCAGGAGAATTGATAAACCAAATTCCTAGATAAAAGAGGGAAAAGAATATTAAAGAGTAAAGAAAAATGAAAAATTAATCATTTTTATCCCACTTTCCCATCAAAACGTGATGTGAATGCCATAAACAATCATGTCTGCTTGTGCCAATGCAATTCAGTAAATGAGAAATGTCATTGAGGATTAGTTTGTCTGAACATTGTTTGTACTTTTATCCAGGTAATCCCTTTGAATCCCTCCTCATTTGTGACAACTAGGAATTGCCATTATTATAATTAGATCTTGTTTTGTAATTCGGCAGACTGTATTGATTTTGCCATACCATTGAACTCTATCCTGCTTGGGCTCAGCGCTGCTTGCTGCACACAGGGGAGGGCCAGAGCATTATTGCCATGCATTATTAATAACAAGCTTTAGCAGACAAGCTTCTACACAGAACAAAACATGGCCATTTTGAGATGCATATCTGTTGAACTTTGACAATCATCTATTTTTCTTTGAACTTCCTTGTAAAACTACCATTAATGAATTGCTGCCCACAGCTGAAAAACACCTCTTTTTTTCAATTAAACAAGAAAAATCTTTCCTAAACCATATTGGCTGGCAGGTGTTCTTTATCAGATATGGGTTGCTATGAAACATGCTCTTACTAAAGTTAATTAGATGTATAGCAAAAACAAAGGAAAAACGACAGTTGTGCTTCATTTATGAAGAGAAAGCACTTCCTTGTGCCTGTTATTCAAACCACTGTACAGCGCACTGTAAGCCGCCCTGAGTCTCCGGAGAAGGGCGGCATATAAATCAAATTTAAAAAATTAAAAAATTTTTTAAAAAAAAACCCAATCATTTATAATGTTTATTATAATGAGGTGGGGAAATTTTGCAATTATAGACTTAACGAAATCAGTTTCCAAGGCCAAAAGGAGGTGTGGCAAAAACCCAGTATCATGGCTGAGGCTTGGCTCGCTTTGCTAATCCTACTCACAGCCAGACAAGAAGCAATGGGGGGAGGGAATAGATTAGAGGCATGGGGGTGGGGGGGAAGAAAGACAAAGAGCACCGACAATCAAGGTCACCTGCTGAGAAAATCTGCTAGTGGAGCATCCATTACCCAACTAAACTGACTACTGATTGGCTGGAATAAAATGACAATGGGAGGACCAGAGGAAAAGGGGAATATTTAACTATGCTACTTGCATGTAAAACAGTTAGAATTGCCTTTTTTTTTTCTGTGATATCCACATTGGCACATTAAATTATATTCTTGGAACAAAAAATGTCCTAGGAGTCTTTATTGGTGGTATGAACCAAGTGGGTTGACATTAAGCCAATTCTTACAGCAATAACCTTAATTTTGGGACATGCTCCAATGGCTCAGGTGCCTGCTCCAATTTGGGATGCCAGACTGCCCCCCCCCCCAGTTTCTTCTTCTCCTCCAGATCACTCTCCATTGACATTGTTGTTCAAACATCCTGGGGGGGTCAATGGGGGAAGTCCATTTCATTTTTGCTTTAACAGCAGTGCCAAAAAAATTCATTAAATCAGGCATGACTCATTTAATGACTACATAGTTTAGAGTCTGGAAATTCCAGTCAGAATTGTGGTTGTAAGCTGAGGACTACCCTTAAAGGAAATTGCCAGAGGAAATGCCAGGGTTCCAAGTAACACCTCCAATAAAATAATACTCTGAGGCTTGAAGTTCCTCAAAGTTCCACTTTATTAGAAATGTCATATTGGCACATCTGAGAAAACCCAAATCTGAAAGTTTCTAGGTTTTCCCCACCCAAAAGGAAGTTCAAGTCCCTGCCCAACCCCACAAGTCCATCACATGGTCCAATCAAAGCACCGTCCCAACTGGAGATGTCTCCCAGTCACACCATTCCAGGTGCAGGGCAAGATGTCCTTGGTTCTCTGAGAAAGGAATGTTGTTATGACTATATATAACACCCTGGCTCCACACAATTCCCCCCTCCCAATTTCCCACAGTAGTAAATGTGGCAGGCCTGATATCCAATGAAAAAGATGGCTTCCAGGCTTGAGAGGAAGCTTATCACTTTAGTGACAATGGCAAAGCCATCCATTTATACTGCACAGGAGAACGGTAAATGCCCCAGTTTTCTAAGAGCAAGAAAATCACATGGATTTGGTCATTAGGAGTCAAAAAGTATTGATAGTCCACAATGAATCGAATCGCTTTGAATCACTACTTCTTAGACCTCTGCTTTGCACCATTTTTCAATCTAGAAAAATACTTCCCCAACCATCAGCCTGTTGTTTTTGTAGCAGAACTGGTAATTCTCAGTGTTCAGAGACAGTCCAGAGCATTTTTTTTAAAAAATATATCCATGGCCATATTACCCATTTAAAGCAACGGGTTGCCTCCATCTCTCCATCACTTCTTATCAACTGAAAACACAGCTTACTTTCAAGCAAAGTCTAACACTGTTGAAGAAATCACTACCCCTTCATAATCAATAAACATATGATCTGTGACCATATTACATTTTAAGTTAATCCATTGATAATAACTACTTTATGGTAAAAGCAATTTGATTTGTATCTATCCAGGACCTTGATAAGATTCAAGGGAGGGTCTGTGAAATGAAATGTTCTTTTGAACCAGTGGTTTGAGCAAAAATGTCAATGGAGAGTGATCTGGAGGAGAAGAAGAAGCTGGGGGGCAGTCTGTCTTGAAAAGCACCACTGGCATCCCAAATTGGAGCAGGCACCTGAGCCATTGGAGCATGCCCAAAAATGAAGACTGAGAAGACTGAGAAGCAGCACACAGGAGCCAAAAAGCAGCTGAGAGATGCCCCATAATATGGCATAAATGGTTGGTGGGAGGGGAAAGTCAGCAGACGCTAAGGAGTTTCCCCCCCTCCCCAGGGTCAATGTGATGCAAGGGAGCCAATGGAAGTCTAGGCAGCAGCCAAATGGAATGATCCCATTGGGTGGAAGCTTCCAGGCATCACCCCAAGCCTGACCATGGAGCAGTTAAGACAGAAATTTGGAGAAATGGAGGATCATGCTGGAGGCATGACCCAAATGTCAGAGACCACCATCACCATTGCAGCAACCCTTGCTCCTCCTCCCCAACCAGCATTTCCAGCACCAGCCGCAGGAGCCCCACCTCAAGGATTTTACCTGGTCCATGAGAAGCACCCCCACCTCCCCTTGTGGCTCAGTTCAACAAGCACCCAAACTGCCTAGTGCACTTTTTGGCTCAGGCTTGCCACCACATGTAGCATTATAGAGCGATGTACCCAGATGATGCAACCCAAGTCTATGCCATCACTGCCAACCTGGACAAGAGTGCCTCAGAATGGCTGGTGTTGTTGCATGATGAAGATATTCTGGAGTTAATTGACCTCAATGCCTTTATGCAGGCCTTAAGAGAGTTCTTCAAGGATACCCTGGCAGCCCATCGTGCATCTGGGCCCTAAAGCAGGGGAAATGGCTGGTGATGGAGTATGTCCAAGACTTCTGTTCAGCCATCTAGGAGACTGACCTGAATGCCTATTGCTCACCCACTTCAGAGAAGGGCTGAATAAGGAGTTATACCACACCTCCTTGTCCCAAAGGCTGCCTCAAATCCTGAGAGCATGGCATCACACAACCAGTGAAGTGGAGATTGACCTAATGGAATTCCACAAGCATACGGGGCAAGGAAGTCATAGCCACCACCCTACTGAGAAGCAGGATGCTCAGAGAAGGGGACAAGGAGGAGTGCCCACTGTCAAAGCAGGAAGCCATGCCAGAGCCTACCAGATGTTTTCGCTATGGCAAGGAAGGCACCAGGCAATTGAGTGCCTTGTGCCTCACTGATGTCTTCTCCCCAGCCTCAGGGCCAACCAAAGTGAGGGAAGAACCTGCCAAAACCAAAAGAGGTGACTTGCATGTGACAACATCATATAGTTTACCCCCTCTTCCAATGAGGAGGAGGGAACTTTGGCTCCTATGAAGACAGGACCTGTCACATACGAGAACAACAGTGAGGGAGAAGATGGTAAATGGTACCATCATCCCCATGACTATTAGGGCCAAGATCACTGTGGCTTCTTTGGGCAGCAAAGGGGTTTTAATAATCCTATTGCACTCAGGATATACTAGATATCTAATCAGCCCTCAAGTGGTGAAGAAGCTAAGGATAGGCTGAGAAAGTTGAAGAAACCCGTAGCCTTTTCCCAACTAGATGGTTTGATAGCAGGAGGGATGCTGGCTACCTGTCTGAATGTGTTCTGCCCCAGCTCCGGATTTCCAAGGATATTGACACACACCAAATTTATTAAGTAGCAAGAATAAACAAGACCGGCAAAGGTTGGCAACCAGCCCAGAAAACAAGATATGATAAACCAAAATACTTTGATAATAATACGAGTTGTTTCCAGCAAGAACGCACTAGCTGC